TCGATATGTCCTTGTAAGCAAGTGCAAGACTCTGCCAGAACTAATGTTAAAAGTACTTGATTCTGTCGTCAAAATTGTTAACTATGTCGAATCTGGAGCTTGGAACACTCGTTTATTCAAAGAACTCTACATGCAAATTAATTCAAATCACGTGGTTCTTCTTTTCTACACTGTTGGGCGCTGGTTGTCCAAAGGCAATGTTCTCCACCGTACTTTTGAATTAAAGGACGAAATCAAAATGTTCTTGGAAGTTCAAGGGAAAAATGACTTCATTGCTTATTTTAGTGTGGAAGGTTGGCATAAGCGTCTCGCTTGTTTGATAAATTTTTGTGCATCAAAAACGGAGCTAGTAGGGTAATTGATTCTGGTTGGACCTATCCAAAAACTGATGATGGTTGGACCTATTTTTTCAATCGCTAGTTTAGTCAATCTTCGCTTATTTTTTATTTTCAACGATCACTTTACTATCATAACAAACTCTTTTTCTTCAATTTGCATGGGTGTTTTATTAAAAAAACTTCAAAACAATTGAGTTTCAATGTGTTTTCAAAACAGTTCACTTTCCACGCATTAGCTCGTCATCATGCCTTACTTTCAAATATACAAAAAAGGAATATTTTTTACATTTATTTTTATTTTCATGCAGTAAAATACTGCTTTAAGGTGTAACAACACGTTAGTACGTCATTTATCCATTGGTTTCACTAAAATATTTGAATAATTGACGAAATTCGAATAGATAAATATGATCATGGTTGGACCTACGCATGATGATGGTTGGACCTATGTGTTTCCTAAGACGGCCGCTAGGTGCACTTCGGTTTGTCTACATCGTTCATGCGCAGCTGATTTGAAATTCGATTTCGCGTTGGCCGAGTGATCAGTTTCTTCGGTTATACGGTCGAAAATCTTCAAGATGCTGTTCTTTTAGTAAGAACTAAATGACTTACCGCGTATCAGGCACAGAAAAGGTACAATATTCCGAAAACGACACTTCACACAAAAATTAAGGGAAGCCACGGCAAGAAATATGGAAGGGAAATAGTGTTGAGTGTTTATTTGGAGAACCAGCTAAGGGATTGGGTTTGTATGTGCGCTGCTTCTGGCAGTCCTAAGACGACCAAAAAGATCTTGTAAGCTGCTAAAGACCTTGCGTCACTAGTTGGGCGTAAATTTAAAGGAGGAATTCCATCGTCAGGTTGGCTGAAAGGGTAACCACCGATTTCCGAACTACCACGAAAGTGCCGAAAGAATCTGTTAATATGAATTTACATTAAGCACTTCTCATACACCTTCTGTGTGCGAATTAACTTGAAATAAAATGTTAACTAACTAAAAATTGCTACATTCAAGGTGTTTTTATGTTACTTCATACGCGAAGTAAGCGATTTTCAGAGTTGGTTGGAAATGCTATCATGAAGCTTTAGTGTGATAATTTATTAGCTAGAGAATGATCTTTAAAAGAGGGTAGGTGGATAGTTCCGTTAGAGTACGGCAGTATGCAAATTGAATAGAAGTTTGAAAATGAGCGAAGGGCCATTAATGCGACAGTTTTTAAAGTCAGACGCATATCTTTTGCCTAACCCGTACGATGTACGCGGAGACTTCAGAGATCATTCTCTAGCTAATAAATTATCACACTAAAGCTTCATGTTAGCATTTCCAACCAACTCTAAAAATTGCTAACTGAAACTTATTTCCGAAAAAAAAAACTATAAAACCAGAATTAAGTTCTGATATTCTGTCATTTTAAGCCCCTAAATTCCCCGGGGTACCCAGAACATGCCTGGAAGTGGCCAATGTGTTCCAATGCACTCAATTTTGTTATTGATCTTGTTATCGAATTTGGAAGTAATGTGAAGTGTCGCATAATAGGTTTTATTCCTTCCATGTCAAATTTTGGTCCATGTTCCATATACCCTGGAACTTGTTCCGGCCATATCTCCGGAACCAGTTGACCGATTCCAAAAATAATCGATAGCTTTCAATGGGACCACAATACCTATAGTTTGAGATTAAAAATTTTCCAAATCGGGTCAATGATTTCCGAGAAAATGAGCCATGATGAATAGCTAATGCTTGGAAAGTGAACTTTTTTAAATACGAAGTCAAACTCAAATTTCTTGATTTTTTTTAAATAGCAATTTCATAAAAACTGTATAAAAAGGGTTTTTTTCATAATACCAATAAGCTCTAAACGAAGTTTTTGAACAAATATGGGCTAAACTAGCATTTGCAAAAATAGTTCCAACCATCATCATTTTTTAGGTCCAACCAAGATCAGTATAGGTCCAACCAACATCATAATTTTTTGCTGAATAAAAACGTTTTATAAAATCATTTGTTCATAATATTTAACTTTTTATGTTATTATTAGAGACAAGCAAGGTAGATCTTTCCCCTTATCACGCATTTTTCATAATTATATGTTGAATTCTTAAAAAAAAAAATACTACATGAATGTTGACGTCGTGTGAAACCGGCCTATATAGGTCCAACCATCATCAGTTACCCTAAACTTTTTTTTAAATACTTTATTGATGAGATTTTTAGCCGATGGCTAGTTCATCTCAGAGGGCTAGCAAACCCATCTTACTCACTTGAAGTGACACTTCCAAACGATCTACAAGCATTCAAGCAACACTGGCTCCGAAAGGTTAGTATTGAAAATGCTGTCATGTTCCATAGACTCTGAATGACTGACAAAAGAGCGAACGAGCTAAATTCGGATCTTTAATCAGAAATTATTGCTCATTTTCACTCACTGGATTATCAATGTGAGCTGTATTTCCCTGAGCAAGAAGATGCTGATGTAGAATCCGTTTTCTTCCTCAATGGATGTGGAAGACTTGAGGAAATATTTGGACCTGAGAAATGATTCCTCATCTCGTGATTTGTTCCGTGAAAAAGATTTGAACCAGTGGTTCTGGCATGCCATGTCGTATCCCAAAGTCTCCTAGCAGACATTGAAGATCATAGCCCCATATGCATCTTTGCACGTACGTACGAGAGCGGATTTTCAGCTCTTCTTCACATTAAAACCATGACAAGAAACAGATTGAACGTTGACGAAGATATGAGATTGGCATGATCACAAACGCAGCATCGTAACAAGATTTGAGATCTACAACAATCGTACGTGTTGTTGGCCGTTGTTAACATAGTTTAAATAAAACGAATAACTACCAGACCAAATGAACGGTTTTTATTCGTCTCAGCGTAATTTATACAATGTACTTTACAGGGGGCTGCGGGACACTCAATTGTGCACAAAGGCGGTCGCAGAGCTGAAAAGGTTGGGAACCACTGTACTAGACCCTCTCTAGTCTCCACTAACATCCTGCGATGATGAATCCTTCATAATTATAAGCAAATCAGAAATCTTTCGGTTGGGTGCAGATCACATCTTCAACAAGGACCATCAACTGACGATGGAGGGCATCACGATTTTACGAACTTTTTCAACTTTACTCAACAGGGATCAAGCAGAAGAACACACGTGGATTTTCAAGTTACTTTTGTAGACGAAATACGCGAATTACTTTTGTAGACGAAATAATATCTGTCAAGGACAAGAAAATTACCACTACAGTCTGTTATTTGAAATTAGCATCTTCAACTAAAGAAATTTAGGTATGTAGTGGAATTAAATGTAAATTACTAATCCTTCTCTCTATCTTTATATCGGTATTCCACTATGGACGCCCACATTTATCTGGATTTTTCATAATTCGATTAACTTAAATGGACAAATCTTGTCATTGTAGTGGAGTATTAGTTTATTTGTAGCTTTAAAACAATTAAACTGATCAGCCCAAATTATACCAAACATTTCGGTAAAAATTACCGAAGTCGGCGATAATTTCCAAGTGTGTAATTTGGATCTTATACTCATGTTTTCAACTTGTACACAACAAAAACAATCTTGCTACTTCACACTCATGCTGCTATTTTGATCACCTACCTGGGGCTACCTGAATTTTTTTCATACGTGAAATTCACTTAAGTCTTATGTGAAAATGCCCATCTAGGTATGTTAAAATCATTTAATTTTCATTTGACAATTAAATAGGTGTAATTCCTTCAACATTCAGGTGGAATTGTGGAGATTTTACGAGAGCCTTTTTAAGTAGACAAAAGTGAAAACATTGAAAGCTCAACGTAGCATTAACGAGTGGATTATTTGGAGTGTTATTTCCAGAAAAAAACAGTCACTAAACTTGCACACTCGCAGTCTCACTGTATATTATTTTAAGCCTAATGAAAGTCACGTGTATCTATTTCAGGTGTCCCCAAGCTCCGAAAACAGCACCCCTTCTGTGCTAACGCAAACCATTCTAACATAGCAAATTCTACCACATAATACCCATCGCTTTAAGGCACCTGTCCGAACAAAATTCAGCACACATATTGAATTGTTCACACGCTTCTCTTAAATAATGTAAAATGCACATACAACATATTTCTTTCATCGAGCCATTACCAGAAAAACAACACCATACTGGCGGTTCACGATAATCTTACAATACTTTGCACTTTATTAACATCTTATCACTAGCAATGCACGTCAAGGTCAATCTACACACTAAATGATGAATCGCAATAGATTGCTGAAGGAACACAAACGTGAGTATCATTCACTGGTATGAGTAACTAACTGATAAGCTTCCTTCAGTACGGACAGAATGGCGCCGCCGGAAAGGGAACGCTACCTGGCAGCGCATACGGTGTCGGATTCACCACTCGGCAGATATCCTTGTACGAGCGGCCTTTGGGCTTTCTCTTATGCGTCGGACTTGGACTTCCACCACCGGATGGGTAGTATCCATACTGATTTCCCCCGTAGCCACCAGAATAGGCTGGCTGATAGGCGGCAAACAGCTTGTCAAAGAGAACCGGCGATGCAAGGACCACTTCGGTCAACAGTAGCAAACTCAGCAGAGCCGTCAACACTAGTGACAGTGACCTCATCTTGGTCTGTGCGGCAGCGTTTGAAAAGGTTATTTTTAGCACTCAATCAACGGATAATTAAGGGGTGCGTATTCGATGGCGATCACACGGTTGCAGCAGCGTGGGTCTTTCAGTGGTTGCCTTTAAATGGTTTGGCCAAGTTCAGTGGCTGTTAACACTTTGAGCACTGTTCGAATGGTGATCGAGGCCTAATCAATGCAATTATCCACAATCAGCTATTTTCACACTATGTGGCGATCCTTAGATGGGCATTGGAATGAATACACTATCACGTTGCTGAGTGCGCACGAATGTTGCCGAGAGAGCCGCACGTCCGATCGGGTGGTCCACGGTAGATGATCTATCGAATGGACAGGAGCGAGCCAATGCTTTTATATGAGGGCTTTTCGCGACTGGCGTTCTATCGCGTTATGATGCTTTGCTTTCCTTTCGTTCTTAGCTGCAACGGGTTTGGCGAGCGGTCGCTGAATCCTGTGACGACGGGGATCCACTTTACTGCAAGAAAGATCAAAGAATGAATCACTGTTTTCATGAACATGGGTAACTTTGGATGTACAATAAAGCGAAACATGATATGAAAAAGCAAATATGGTGCTCTAAGAAGTGATGTGAAGTCGTTACAGTGTTCGTTAATGTTCGTCGATACCGTAACAAACAGATCATAATTTTACAACCGCATTGAACTTGATGTAAGGTACACTGGGGGAAGTGGGACTTGGGAGTACGTGGAACAATTATTGTCTTGTGCATTGCTGAGATTTGTCATTGTCATTGACAGACTTGCACGCGATATTGACAAAATTGTTTTTCACACAGTCACTGATAGGCTTGATCTTCAAACAAAAAAAAAAACCCTTGTCAAAATCTCATTATTTTTTTCGTCTGTGACAAAGATTTACCGGGTAACAAAAAGTGTTATTTTGGGCATTCTGAGTCATATTATTGTTATCCAAGCAGTTCAGTACGTAGATGCTTGTTCACTTTAACGGCTACATGTAATTGTTTTGCTAAAGTAGTTTAATTTCGTTTCAAATTTAGCTGATAAATACGCATTAAAAAATCTGCACATGTTTGTCGCTGACAGCATTGTCACTGACAATTGACATAGTTTTCTTTGACGATGACTGTTAGGCATAGGAGTAGCCAGAGGGGGGAAGGGGAGCAACTTCCCCCCCCCTCTTAACTCAGCAACACAAAGGCTTTCGGTGAAATGGCGTTCGGTAAATGACATTCAGCCAAATTTTAAATAGTAAATATTTTTTTCGCCCCTCCCTAGCTCGAAACCTGGCTACGTTCTTGCTGTTAGGGGGATTTTTTTAAACTACCGAACAGGTTTGGGCCGAAGGGTCTTCGATTTCTTTGAAACTTCGCCCATAGGTAGAGTTCATGGATATATTAACAAAAGTAAATTTCATAAAAATCAGCGTTGCCAATTTTTTCCGGAAAACCTTAGTTTTTCGATTTTCTCGGACACCACCAATTTAAAAAAAAATCATAAATTTTGAACCAAGCACTGCACAAAGTCAATTAACAAAAACTACTATTGATAAAAAATACAGTAGGAAACAAATTTCTCATGAAAGTTTTTACTATTAAAGAAAATCCAAAAGAAAACTGTGGAAATTATCGTCTGTATCATTGACTTTTATAAAAAAAAATGTTTTCATGTTAAATACCTACCTACACATCTGTATTATAATAAAATCATATTAAATTATATTAAAATCAAGGGGTCGGCCGAGTTGAAATGTCTAAGTCAAACGATTTGGTCGACATTATGAAACAGATCGTTCGGGTGATCGTCGCCACTATCTATACCTAATAAAGCCGATAAAAACCTTTTTAGGTAAAGATAGATATGTGTTGAAGATATTATATTTGATTTGAATAAAAAGAGTTGCTTAAGCTCGTTAAAGTCAGTCAGTAACTGTTGGTTATAAATGTTGCTGAGCTGGCAGCAATCAACTTCGCTATGGGAATGATTTCCAACATGCCCGCAGACCATTACTTCATCTTCTCGGATAGCCTCAGTTCTATTGAGGCTATTCGGTCGATGAAACCAAGTAGGCACTCATCTTATTTCCTTTCAAAGGTAAGGGAGCAGATGAGTGTGCTGGTCGAAAGATCATATATGATTACCTTTGTATGGGTCCCCTCACATTGCTCAATCCCAGGCAATGAGAAGGCGGACTCTCTCGCAAAAGTGGGCGCGCAGGAAGGCGAATTTTATGACAAGCAAATTTCATACGATGAATTTTACCATTTAGTGCGTCAGAGTACCCTTTCGAGTTGGCAAACCGATTGGGACAATGGAAATCTTGGACGGAGGTTACATTCAATTATTCCTAATGTTTCTTCGAGAGCGTGGTTTAAAGGCTTGGGTTTAAGTCGTGACTTCATTCGCGTGATGAGTAGACTTATGTCCAACCACTACTCGCTAGATGCGCATCTCAATAGAATAAACCTCGTGGACAGCAACATATGTCGGTGTGGAAACGGTTACGACGACATCGATCACGCAGTTTGGCAATGTACGGATAATGACGCCGCCAGAGAGCGACTTTTGAATACCCTCGAGGCCCAAGGACCTATATACCTATCAGAGACGTGTTGGGTACCCGCGATCTCTGCTATATGCAGTCGATTTACGCGATTGAGCCTTACAAATAAACGAACTAGATAAAAAAATAAATAAAAAAATAACTGTTGGTTATAGGAATTCAACATCAAATTCATCAAATAGTTTGTTATTTAAAAATCGAACGCAAGTGTATTCATCTTGTTTATTCTGCAGCAAGCCAAATTTACATAAGCTCTTAATTACTCAAAAAAAAAAAAAATCAAGTGTGTTATTCAAACATATTGAGTTACATTCGAAAGGCATGCAATGGGTAACGGACAAAATGAAACTGTGTACATATTGTCGGCTAAAGCTGTCACTCAGCAACGAGCATAAGGATTTAGTGACCGTAGACAGTAGATACAGCTCAGTACGTTTCGCCAATGTTCTCGTCAGCTGCAACAAGAGACGCTCCTTCGTCGGTAGGATCCGTCCAACACGCTTCACCACTATTTTCACCAGCTGCTGATGCGACCGAAGATTTTGAATCTGGTTTGTTGAATTTAAAATTCGCTTTTCAAATAGCGGATACAGTGCAACAAAAAAGTTGCCAAAAAGTTGGTAATTTACCAAAATACAATTACATTTTGAAGAAGCTACTCGTCACATGATAACTGAATCAAAAAACAAATTTAATAGGACTGCAACGTTTTTCAAAAGCAGGACGACCTTCATATAGTGCAGAGGTGCATGGTAAGATAGTAAATTTTTATCTTAGAGATGACATCAGTCTACCATTTCCTGGATTGAAAGACACAATTCCTATAGTTGTCAAACGGAGCTCGACAGAATTATCAAAAACGCCTGTTGCCGGCTCCGTTAAGTGAACTATATAAACAGTTTTTAGATTATTTGACTTTTACAAAACTGTTCATAGCCGCTTGTTACTTCATCCAGGTCATATTATATATTCGTTGACAGCGGCGTCATTATCATGCGCATTATTATTTCCATGTCTAGTAACAGTCACCAACAGGGAACTACGAATGATACAGATGATTTTCAGTTTTAGTAAGTCAAGGTTCTTGATTGTAATACAACATAGATGCGAAGGTAGGTATTTAAGCTGCTACGCGTACGGATGGTGTGCGAGGAGAAAGATCAATTTGATTTTTGACGTAGGACTACGTCTGTGATTTCTATATGGGGGTACACTTTGTGAAAACCGATAATGGAACATGTAACAAAATTATGAAAGATTTTGAACGTTAATAACTCAGCTGCCCCTGGACCAATTTCAATAATTTTATCACCTACCTATCAGAAATATTTCTACGCATCGATGTGTCTAGAAGCGTCGAAATAACTAAAAAAATCCACCAATTACGTACATGCATATGCTGCTTCCCCAACACAGTCATCAGATAATCGTTTCTAGACGAAACATGTCGATGTTGCATTGTTGCTTACCCAACACTGTCATCAGAGAGACGTTAGTAGACGAAACAAGCCAACAAACAATGCAGAGTCACAAATAAGCTTATATATTGAATAAATGGTAATTGAGTTACATTTTTCTATATTTAATTGTAGAAGGCTTTTTTGACACCAAGTATGGAATATCTGTATTTCCTCTTTGAATGTGATGATGTCTTTGGCATCTTTTATTTACAAAAAAAGATAATGTCTTCAACATAGGAGAAACGCAGGTAATGTCGGCCTAAGTGTCCCTAATTTGGGTCCATACATAAATTCAGCAATTGACTAAATTTTCAATAGCAACCAAAAATATCCATTAGTAACGTCCGAATAACGCTTTCATCTAGATAAAATTGATAAATAGCAGATTTTTAGCGATGGGCCCAATCTTAGATCCATAGGCCAACATTAGACATTTCCCATATGTCATTGACGAAGAGAATAAATAAAACCGGACCTAAATAGGAGCCTTGAGGAACTTTTGAAGTGACATAATCGGGATTTGATGTCTTTCCTTTGTATTTTAAAGGGTGTCCACGATGAAATTGCCACACTATGAAATTGCTCTAACTTTTTAACCGTTGGGTAGAATTTAATGAAAATTTGGGTGGATTTAGTTCATAGTGCATTATTTACATCCTGCAAGTTTTAAAGTCCTGTGATCAAAACTCGCGGAAATGGAGTCGAAAGAACAGCTCGTGCGTGATAAAATCTTGCGCATTCATCACGAGAACAAGGATCTCTCGCATCGTTCCATCGCTAAAACGTTGGGAATCGCGAATTCCACGGTGTCGCGAGTGATTAAGCGGTTCGAGGAACGGTTGACCACCGATCGGAAGCCCAGAAGTGAAGGAAAAAGTATTCCGTACAACACCAAAAATCACAACCGCGTAGTTGGGGCCTTCAACCGAAATCCGGACGCCTCCGTTAGGGATGTGGCTAAGAAGCTGCACCTAAGCCGAAGTTTTGTCCAGAAGGCCAAAACTAAGGCTGGGCTTCGAACGTTCAAGGTACAAAAGGCCCCTAATCGCGACGAGAAGCAGAACAAGTCCGCCAAAACCCGTGCCAGGAAGTTGTACCTCAACATGCTGACGAAAGTTGAATGCTGCATCATGGACGACGAAACATATGTGAAGGCCGACTTCAAACAGATCCCCGGCAACCTGTTTTTCACGGCCAAGGATAAGTTCAGCGTTCCGGAGCATGTCCGCACTCAGAAGATGTCCAAATTTGCGAAGAAATTCCTGGTTTGGCAAGCCATCTGCACGTGCGGGAAGCGTGCCTCCAGAAGCGGCTGCTTCCTCTCCTGAAGGCCCACAACGTCCCAACAATCTTCTGGCCGGATTTGGCCTCATGCCACTACTCCAAGGACGTGCTGAAGTGGTATGCGGACAATAAGGTCAATTTCGTGCCGAAAATGGTCAACCCTCCCAACACTCCGGAGCTCCACCCCATC